CTTCCACATGATGCATACTGAAACTAGCTTCTTGGGGAATGGAGAGATGGCTCAGTGGTTAAGAGCCATGCTTCTCCTCTGGAGGACTCAGGTTTGATTCCCAGAACCTACCTGACTGTTCACAACTATTTGTAACTTCAGTTCCAGGGTTCCAACGCCCTTGTCTGGCCTCCTTGAGCATCAGGCACAAACATGGTATACAGACACACTGTAGTCAAAACATGCATACTCATAAGACAAAAACCAATCAAATAAACTTCCCCGAGCCTCTTGTTCTTGTTTTAGAGGCAACTGTGTGTAAAAGGGACATTAGCATTGGAGGTACAGCATGGTAGAACACTTCCTTTGTGTTTTTGAGGTCCTCGAGTTCAGATTCCACCAGCATGCCTGGCCTGCCTGTGGAACCCAAGCAATATGGACATAAAGTGTTTTGTGATATCTGGGCAGGACTTCTCCAGTGTGCAGGTTGTTGTACACAGAATTACCAGGAGGGCTGTGTGGAACACAGATTCCTGGACCCTCCCCCCACAGCTTATGGGTTAGCAAAGCTGCAGTGTGCTCAGGAACTCGCATTTCTCATAAATTCCCGGGTAATCTTGGTGCTGTTAGTCACGAGGGTGGAGTTTGTGCTCCCTCACCCCACCAGGCGTGCTAGGTGTGAACTCAGTGTCTCTCACATGCTAAGCAGATGCAGTACTTCAGGGCTCACCCCAGACACGAAGACCACTGTTTACGGAGTTCTACGTGTGTGGACTATTACCTTGTTGCCTTTCCAGACAGTTCCAGAAAAGTCACCATGTATTGTCAAAGCCCAAGAGTCTCTCGGGGAATAATGTTATGGAAACCTTACTGAAATTCAAACTTACTTTGGATATATTGAACTGTACTATTTCCTTCTGCATAGGTATGCAAAATGGTATCTTTCTAAAAATGAACTGCTAGGGCTCTACCTTGAACTTTACAGTCTGTTCTATAGTAGTTCTGTACCCTATACAATTGGTCCCTGTTTCTGAAACAGTCCGTGCTGATAACCGATCTCCAGCACAGGAAGATACTCAGAAGACTACAGACAGGTGCCCGTAGAAAACCCAAGAGACGTGGGGATTATGTCTCTCAGGTTTCATAGGTGGGAGTCATTGTGACTTGCAGGGTTATTGTGCGGGGTTATTGAAGAAGGGTCACCTGCTGGGCAGGCAGGTGTGTTTCTTCTCACGTTTTCTGGGCTTCTCTGTTCCCGCCTATCTTGCTTAAGATGAATTAGAGAGATTGTACCTCAAGGGACGTGAAAAGGTAACTATTGACATAAAAATACCATTTCCTGCAGTTTTTCAGGGGTTTGTTTGCTGTGCGCTTGGTGGCAGGGCACAGGTGCAGGAGGGAAGGTTCAGAGGACAGCAGAGAAGAGAAAATTCTGGTATTGGGAGTTTTGTCAGTCAGAAGCATTCTTGAGGGTATGTGGAAAGAAGTGTAATGGTTCCTCAGAAAGTTAAAATGGAGTCTCCAGATTGAAGGACTGAAGGCAGAATCTTTAAGAAATATTTGTATAGTCTCATCATGACCGCATTATCCTTAATAGTAAATAGACAGATAAACCCCAAATGCCATGACAGATGAATGGTAAACATTCATAATGGTAAAGTGTGGTGTGTATGTAATGAGATATCACTCAGTCTCAGGAGGGAAATCCTTTAACATGGACAAACCTCAAAGTTACTGCTTCAGGAAAGTAGACTACTTACAAAAGAATAACATTGGTTTCACTGGTATATAGTTCTTACAGTAGTAAAATTCATACACCCAGGAAGTAGAATGGTGGCTGCCATTGGCTGGCCAGAATGGGGAATAGGGAGGTAATTGTTAAACGCGTGTAGACATTCACTTTGGCAAGATAGAAAGCTCTGTGGATGTAGAGTGGAGATGGTTGTGTTCTCGTCTGAATATCCTTGATGCCTATGAACTGTATAAGAAAGTAATAGGTCTTCTATGTGGCCCCACTGTGGAAATGCTAAGATTCTTGTATTTCAGAGTTTCTCAGTTTTGGCATTGACATTTGGGGGCTGGATAATTCATTGTTGTATGGTTCTATGATAGTCTGGGTTTTCCTGAGAAAGAGAAATATTAGATTAAGTATATGGCATGTCTGTCTATCTATCTGCCCCCCCCCCCGTGTGTATGTGTGTGTGTTATTGAGACTTTGACCCACATCACTGGGGAAGACTTGATAGAGATAATATCTATAGCTTTTTAAACATATGCACACACACGCACACACACACACACGCACACACACACACACATATATATATATATATATATATATATATAGAGAGAGAGAGAGAGAGAGAGAGAGAGAGAAGAAAGAAAGAAAGAAAGGAAGGGGAGAGGGTGGGAGGGAGGAAAGGAAAAAGGGAGGGAGAGAGGAGGGGCAGGCAGACATGCTTACACACACACCTTTCCAGTTCTTTAAAAGAGATGATGGACCAACTTCCCAGGCACGACTGCTTTCTTTCCTGGCCTAGCATAGCCAGAAGAGAGCTGGTGCTGCTCTTATTAAATACCTGACTAGGGGTGATTAGTAAAAATAGACCCCCCAATTTACTATTTACGAAGAGAATATTATGGAGATAACAATGCTTTTAATGATTGTTTCTAGGCAGCATTTACAATTTTTTTAACTGTAGGAAATAGCATATCATTGATCTATCTGCTATGCATGGGTAAGTATGATTTCTTTTCAAAATAGTAATTTATTTAAAAAAAATCTTAAGCAGTGGGCTTCTTGGCTATTTTTAAGGAAGAAATTGCTAAGATACGATCTAAGTTTTAAAATAAGAACAAATTTGCATGTATTTGGAGTAACATACATGTTTACATTGGTTGTCCTAGTGTAGCCACATAAGTGGTGGTTTGTGTTCTGGGTCAAGCTGTTTAGCATGCCAGCCTTCAAATTTTACACCCATCTTATTTTTATGGGTTATGATGCTATCTAAATGTTGGGTGGAAAGCAACAGAATGACTGAAATAAAATGGGGAGGAAGGAGTTGTTTGGAGTTAAAATTGGTTAATAACAAATAAGCAAATGCATGCAGCTTTATTTTTATTGTTTTTTTTTTTTTCTTTCTCGAAACAGGGTCTCAGTATGTAGCTCTGACTGTCATAGAGCTTATCATGTAGACCAGGCTGGCCTTGAGGTCACAGAGATCCCGATGCAGGTTTCTTTATCCACAGTCTTCCTTCATTCTCCCCTTACCCATGCGGGGCAGAGACTGACTAGGCTCAGCTAAGTAAGCTGCACCTCCACCCCTCATCTTTTATTTCTAAGATTATATCCTTTTAGGTTTTAAGTACCATCTCTCTTCTGAAAATAGTCTCTGGGTTGTTTTGTAAATATTATCCTATGTCAAAGTAAAAAGTAGCCCGGTGCTGCAAACATATAATGTCTAGGCCTAGAGAGACTGATAGGACTGTGATGGGTATGCAGAAATATCCTGAACAAATAGTCTGAACACCCGTGACAAGAACAAGTGGCCCAGTAACTGTTTTCATTACCATTTGATAAAAGGTCACTGTAAAAATAGCAGGGCTCTAAGAAGAACTCTCTACTGCCATCATGATTTTATTTTTATCAGCTCCTTCTCACTTTTTCTTCTATGTAGATAATGAAAAACTATAGTAGAAGTACTATGGAATATATAAATAGCTTTTGTTTCTACCACACCAAATGAGACTCCCATTGTTAATAGGGCAAACCTTCTGGAAACATGATGGTTTTGGAACAGTTAAGTTGATTGCTTGTGCCTGGCTTTTGTTTGTTTTTGTTATTCTTTTGGCATCGTGGTGCCATGAGGAAGCAACATTCAGCAAATGACAGGTGTGATGTTCAAATCTTGCTTGGCATCTCTGGGCAGTTCTATGCAGAGGGTGGGGCAGTGGGACCTCGTAAGGTTGTGGTGAGGTTAATGCATGTGCATTGCTTGCCACAGTGTCTGCGCTTGGGTACCACCAGCTCCTTTTATTATTGCTGGTAGTATTATTGGTTAGCAGTGGCATGTGGCCTCATAAGTGTTATCTAAAGAGGCGATGTTATTAGAATGTCATCCTTTAGTGGGCTAGAGAGAAGTTGTGTCTAGTTGTCACATCCTGGTCTCTGGGTTGTAATGTTCTAAGTATGTAGGGTGTCATTTAGTATAATGGTGTGGGTTCCTAGCTGATGATGTGATGATTTATGTGATGAAAATGAGGATAACGTTAGGATTTTTAAAGAAAGTCTACTTTTAATCATCTATTTCTGAAAAGTGTGTGTGTGTGTCTGCATGCATGTGAGAGACTGAATCTAGGGCCTCAAGCATGCTTGGGCAAGGGCTCTACCCTTGAACTGCACCTCCTGACCCCCATCTTTAATTTCAGAAGGTTTTGAGGGTCATTATGTACCATCTCTCTTCTAAAAAAGGGTCTCATGGTTGTTTCTCACATGTTACAAAGATGGTCGTCTGATTTGTTTTTCACAATTTATTTTTATTTTATGTGCATTGGTGTTTTGTCTGCATATATGTCTGTGTAAAGGGATCAGATCTTAGAGTTGCAGATAGCTGTGAGTTGCCTTATGGGTGCTGGGAATTGAAACCGAGTCCTCTGGAAGAGCAGACAGGGCTCTTAAGCACCGATCCATCTCTCCAGCCCCCACAGTCTGATTTCGGTCTTGCTGAATGTATGGGATTTTGTGGATGGGAGTGAGCATTGCATTGATGTAACGAATGGGAGCTTTAGGAAGGAGATGGACGATAGGAAGCCCTTCTCCACAGTCCTTGGAAGATGATGCTGTTGAAGCCACTAGCAAGACTTCGGCTTTTCTTACTAAACAATATACATAAACTGGACAGGCATTAATGATGTTCTTTTCAGTTATACTTTGTTGAAATAGGAGCGGCAGGGCTGCGTCCCCGGCACCTGGCCGCCCGCATGGCTAGCTTATACCCAGAAATAATTACACGGAAACTGTATTCTTTCAAACACTGCCTGGCCCGGCTAGGTCCAGTTTCTTATTGGCTAGCTCTTACATATTGTTCTAACCCATTTCTAATATTCTGTGTAGCCCATGAGCTGGCTTACCAGAGAGGATCTTAACCTGCGTCTGTCTGGAGTGGGAGCA